TAATGTCCTCTGCAGTCAAACATTCTACGCCAGAACCCTCATCCACAAACCCGCTAAGAACTGGACGATCAAGTATCCAGATCGAGTCTCTCCTACTTGAAAAACGTAGACTTCGCAGAGACTGGCAGACTCATCGGTCCCCAGCTACTAAGAAAAGACTTAATGAAGCATCTCGAAAATTGTCGAAGGCCCTCTCTACCGAAAAGAACCAGGCCCAACGGGCCTACATTGGGAAACTATCCCAAATTTCCACTATGGAGAGCTCACCCAAACATGCAACCACCAATAGATCCCGATTGGCCAATTCGATCACAACAGCTAACACCTTTGTCCATCACTTGGAAAACGTCTTCAAGCCTCACCCGCCATCCAACCAATTCACTCTACCCTTGAAACCAGCACAATACTTAAGGCTATTAAAGAACATATAAACCCAAAGAAAGCTCCTGGTCACGATTTTATTTCTCCAAAAATGATAATTGAATTACCTGCATGCGCAGTCAGATGCATAGCATTTATATTTAACTCAATATTGAAATGGGGCTACTTTCCTGACCAATGGAAAAAGTCTGTCATTACAATGATCCCGAAGCCAGGAAAAGACAAATTCCAGCCTTCCTCGTACCGGCCCATCAGTCTGCTCCCATGTCTATCAAAGCTATTTGAAAAACTGCTTCTTGTTCATCTAGTAACACATCTTCAAATCAACAGAACGATCCCTCTGCACCAATTCGGATTTAGGGAAAAGCATGGAACTATCGAACAGGTAAACCGCTTAACATCTGAAATTCGCACGCCTTTCGAACACAAGCAATATTGCAGTGCCTTATTTCTGGGCGTATCGACGGTCTGGTATACAAAATCAAAACCCTCCTACCGGAAAACACCCAAAAGTTGCTTGAGTCATACCTCAGAAACAGAGTTTTCACCGTGAGATGTAAAACCTTTACTTCAACCATCCGTAACATCGAAGCATACACTTAGACAGGAGGCTTACCTGGAGAAAGCATATAGAAGCAAAGAAGACCCATAAAAAACTGGCTCATGAACTACCGCTCCCCCTTCCACTCGAATATAAAGTACTACTGTATAACTCGTGCTTAAAGCCGATCTGGACCTACGGTTCCGAGCTCTGGGGAAACGCAAGCAGCAGCAATATAGAAATTATTCAAAAAGTACAATCAAAGACCCTACGAACAATAACTGGAGCCCCCTGGTACATCCGCAACGCAAACATCCAGAGAGACCTGGATATAAATCCCGTAAAAGAAGAAATTGTTTCCAGAAAAATTAAATATGAAGCCAGATTATCAAATCACCCAAACCTGCTAGCCAGACAACTCAACCGGCTAAGCTATCATTCCCGTCTACAGCGGAATGATTTCCCATCCCTCTTCAATAACATAAATTAACGTATTATAGATTAAGATTTGAAAACTTATTGTTAGTCTCTTATGTAATAGAGAAGATCCAATAAATAAGAAAAAAGTATAAAAAAAAAAAAACCGCCGATACCAGCATTTATCCGCTGAAGAATCAACGAAACCAAAGCAAGATAAAGTTATGTCGAGCAAGCCATATAATCGTAGCTCATTTTCTTGTTTCGGTAATGCAAAGGTTCGACTTTGTAAAATCTGCTCCTATTAACATATCTATTCTTTGTGGCTTGTAGAAATAGGGGTCTGCTAGTGGTAGGTTCTTTGGAATTTTCCAGTCATTGATATTGACCGACTGGTCAGGATGATATCCTGATATTGATTTCAAAATCCAAAAATCAAAAGAGAACTCACTACCATTTAAACGCGACTTCACCACTGTGTGTACCTTTTTCTTAACTTGACAATTGGCCAATGCCAAGTAAGTTTATACACGACTCCTCTTTACCGATCTGTAAAGCGGTGAGCAAGGTCCTCTGTTATAAAAGTCGTTTGGGATCCAGAGTCAAGAAGTGCTCGGGCCCAAATATATTCACCGTTTTTAGTTCTTACACTTACGATCGACGTGGCTAAAATCACTCTGTCCAATGATGTCGCATGCATAGCATGTGATGAGGAAGGCTGATCTTGATTTAAAGAGGGAGAAAGACTCTCTTGGGGTGGTGGCAACGCTAAACTATTTTCGGACACTGTATATCTATGCAGTAAAACGTGATGCGAGCGGCAGCAAACTCGACATTTATTAAATTGGCATTCTGAAACAGTGTGACCCTTTCGCATACAATTCATGCATAAGGAAACAGATTTTACAAAGTTGAACCTTTGCATTACCGAAAGGCGACCAAACGGACCAGAGTTCGCTAGGATATGGTCTACTGCATTGCAATAGCTACAACTTTGCTGGGATTTACTGTTGGACAAAGAACAAGAAAATGAGCTACGATTATGTGGCGTGCTCGACATAACTTTATCTTGGTGTCGTCTCCTATCGATAACAAAGAACCGTATATACGCTGACTGTTGCGTTATTTTCGGAAGTCTAAACAATGTTGAAATATTATTCATAAAAATTAAACATTCGTTATCATACACTTTTTTCAGGCTGATCATAGCCTTTTCATAATTGCTCTCGGTGACTTGGTAGGCCTTAATAGTTCCCAAAGCTTCACCAGAAAGACAAGAAATTATGTGATTGAATTTTTCAATAACGGGAATGCTGTCGTCTTGATGAACAAAAGTTTCGAAAAGGCTAATGAAATTCTTAAACTCCGAATATTTGCCGCTGAATTTCGGCAATGCTAAATTCGGAAGTCGATCTCGAGTTGGGGCTACAGAAGCTGATCCAATTATTTTGGTTTCGCTTGCCGTCTTCAAGGCTGAGATAAGCGACATTATTTTTGCCTTGGTTATTATTGAAAGCTCAACCAACTCTTCTCCGAACTCATCGACATCATCTAAATCTTCAATCTGTGCTTGTATTTGTAATTGAAGCATTTAAAATCTCTAGCCGACAATTTAGTTCTACTTCTTGAATCGGAATCTTCCCGGCTTCTATTCGATCATTTAATCGGCGGATGCTCATCACTGTTTTTTTGAGCTTATTTTTAAGATCCGCAAGAAGTTCAAGGAGTTTTGGCTTATCTGGACTCATTTTAATTTATTTTTTTATAAGCCACGACAATAAATATATATATATATATATCAATAAATTATTTATCGAAAGAATAATAAATTAATAAAATAAATAAATTTTAAACAGGATAATTCTTTAATTAGAACGACGACAAATGTTCAATAAATTTTCGAAACAAAACCAAGAGTAAATAACAATTTAATTTAATTATTAAATTTGTTCGAACAAATTATTTTTAATAATTATCCACAACGAAAACGACGAAAAAAAAATATTAAATTGAATATGAAGCTACGAGGTATCAAAATTAATAGTGGTTGCAAATGACGGTAAAAATCAGTATATCCGTCTGAATGCAGGGTAGCGCGTCACCTTGGTCGTCAGCGCGCCAAACCGAAAGTTCAACAACAATTACAACGTTGCTAACGGCGGACAAGCGAAAGCGAAAAAGGAAAACGAAAAAGTTCACCGCTGCAGCTGCTTGTGTATGAGGGCTTATGTATTGGTTATGTATAGCGGCTGGGATGATTTTACCAACTATTAATTTTTGAGTTTCAATAAATAAATTGGGGGGGACAGTGATTGCAATAATATAACACAATTAAAGGTTGCATCCAACGGCGGTTCAAATAGGTTATATAATGTGTATGTGTATATGTATGTGTATATAATAAATTTTAATATAATTTTTATTTTATTTATTTTAAATAAATGCATGTACAACTAGCTATACTATATCGATACGTCTGTGCCAAGAATTGAAAGCGAGGTGCAATTTTTCAGCACAAGACAATAAACAATTAAATTTTTTTCTTATAAACTCAAGCTTTCAATTTTTGCACAAATACCTCAGGTTCTGCGTTAGAGTCTTTCAATCCAGCTGCCACTTTCCTTTTGCAAATTGAGCAGTCGCAAGGCATCACTATGGCAGCAGTTCTTCTGTGGCGAACAGGGTATTTCGCGACCGGCCCGAGACTTTAAGCAGGAGCTGCTGTGTATTTTTTCTACCCACACCGACACGCCGCGGGCAACAATAAAGCACTATGCAATTTGAGTGCTTTGACCCGGACTTGCACTTGCACTTTATATTTATTATTTTATGTGTCACTGTCACTAGTTGCCAAAGATATATATTAATAATTTTAACGTCCACCCGGGGCGCCATGAAAAATTAGATAGTTTTCTAATTTTTTCAAACCGAAAAACTGCGGTGGCTAAAATTATTAATAGCGAAAATAAACGAAAACGAAAAAAAGATGTCGACGGCTCAAATCAATTTCAACGAATGCCTATGCTATATTTCGACAAAGTACTTAGAGACTAGCTTAACGAAGGTTGACGAAGACGGGGCGTCTTCGCCGAGAGCGAGAGAGAACTTTATTGTGCTCCCGCCTTCGCCCTAGACCAACTTACACAAAGCTTCAAGTTTTAAATAATTTCACAAAAAATTCAAATTTGAGCCTACAAAGCAGTTTTTACATCTAACTTTATAACGACTTTGTCACAATCAAAAAAGAATAAGTTTGTTTTTTGGAATAATTCCCCAAATTTTGTTTTTTTTAATAATTTAATAAACTCAACTGAATCGAATTTATAGCAAGTTAGATGTCCTTCCAGTCGTCATTTCTACAATAATGTGTATACATTATTGTAATTATTGGCTTTAAAATATTTTGTCAAAATTTCATGTGGATCTTTATTTTATATGTAGCCTCAAGAGGGAGGAATAGGAGCCAAAACTGGTTTTTTCAAAAGAAAGTTCTTAAAATTCGCTGCATTTTCAAACTAAACTTACTATTGAGCCGATTAATTCTAAATTTCGCACACTCTTTTTAAATTTGGTTCACAATTATAAAAAACGATCTGAAACAAAATAGTTATTATTTAAAAAAGTGAATGGGTGTTGTTAAGGAATTTTCTTTATTATTATAATTTTTCTTCTAAGTTAAGTCAAGATGAATTCAATACTTGTTCCCTTTATCATTTAATGTTTAATTTGAAACGATTACTTTGTTATCGATCACATGTAATTATAAGCTAACGATAAGCACAAAAGGGTGGCCACTTTTGAACTTTTAGCCGAGACGATTGGTACGTAGCCTCCGCATAAAAATTATTTTTGTGTTCTAATTTAAGCCTCAAAAAAATAGATAATAAAACGCACGCCGCACGCCGCACGTACGCACTGCAATTGTCAAGCAGAAAATAATTTGCGTTCTTATTATGTCCTGATCGGCTACAGAAGTCAACATTTTTTATTATCAATCTCAGTGCAAGCCCGTCGCACAAAAACCTTATACAAGCCTGCCGCTTGTATGTATGTTCATGTATTTGAGCAAAAATTTGACGCCATTTTTTCTTAAGAAGTACACACGACGCCGTTCTAAGAACTTGGAAAAGCCACGCCGAAAAATACAGTTGGGACCATAGCCAATTTAATAATTTGCATTATCATCGATTGCTCCAACGCCGCCTACACCCCACATGCGTATATTTGTACTGTGAATGCCTTTTCACATAAAGTCCATGACAACCTGGAATGCCAAGAGTGAGCCAGCGTTGCAACAAAGGAAAGCCACCAGCCCGTCTAGGATTTGACTATAAGATGTTAACATCGGGGGATGAAACAGATTAAACGATTATCGAGCTCAACAAGATGGATGAACTTCAAGAAAAGCTGCGAGATTTGGAACTCAAATTTCAAGAATCGCAGAATCGAAATAGCGAACTTCGTTCATCACTACGCCGCATAACTAGCCAACTTGAACATGATGAACAGGAGAAAGCACGAGCACTGACTAGTAGCGAGCAACTTCAGACAAATATGGGTAAGTTAATGCTAAACTTCACTGCGACATATACCTTTCCAGACGTGCACTTGCCATGCCAGCAGCGGTTGCCAGTTTACAGCTCCCAAGCCAGTCGTCCATATGTACCATTGCCATTCCCATCAGCCTATAACAGTACCTATCAGGTCACCGCACCGCCGCCCACATATGCTCATTCGCTCCCAATCTTCGCAACGCCTTCAACCTCATCGCAGGCCCAGCCGCTAACAGGATTGCCGCATTTATATCAGCCGTATTCACGAAAGCTACAGGATCTTCCGACATTCGATGGAACGCCAGAGCAGTGGCCAATGTTTCATGTAGCCTATAGGGAAACTACAAACGCCCACAGTTATACCAATTTGGAGAATTTGTCTCGCCTTCAAAAGTCACTGCATGGTCCAGCTAAGAATTTGGTTGCATCATTACTCATATATCCAAACAATGTCGAAACAATTATGCAAACATTAAATAACCACTACGGACGACCCGAAGTGCTAATACGAAGTCAGCTCGATAAAGTTAACAAAATGAGTGATATTATCGACTTCAGTGTCATGACAGCCAATTTAACATCGTTTCTAGAGAACTGTAACGCTAATTAGTCACAAAGCTGCCGATGAACAAAAAGGGAGAGTGGGCCAAATATATCATGGAAAGAGGAATTGTATATCCGTCAGTAAAACAATTCGCAGAATGGCTTCAAAACATTGCAAGCTATGTATCAATAGCAATGGGCAGTACATCGACGATGACGACCGATAAAACACAGGAAAAGAAAAATCAACCTAAGCACATTTTCACCGTTGACAATAAACAGGAGCGTTCCCGTAAATGCCCAATTTGTAATCACGACCACAAGCTCTATCAATGCGACAATTTCAAGAAGAAGACCTTACCAGAAAAATGGGAAATCGTTAAGAAACAACGACTTTGTTTTGGGTGTCTACACTGGGGCACTCTATGCAAACTTGTTCATTCCGTAGAGAATGCAAAATTGATTCATGTCAAAGATATCACAATCGTCTTCTTCACGATTCAAAGTTCCAATCCGCTAAGATTGAGAATATTTCAGATGAAACAAAGACTGACATAGTTTTTACAACAATAATGGATAATGAACCACCGAACACGACCCTTTTTAAATTCGTGCCCATAATTGTTACAGGTCCAAAATCACAATGCACAATAATTGCCTTTATCGACGAGGGTTCAACCATATCTCTTATCGAAGAGGAAACAGCCTAATTGCTGGGTCTCAAAGGATCGAAAAGCCATATGACATTAAAGTGGATAGGTAACAAATCGACAACAGAAATGTCTCAGCAAATAAACCTGGAATTACAAGGATACCCTTCGGGATCTCTATCTTCTTGCCTTATGAAAAATGTAAGAACAGTCAAAAGGTTAATGTTACCATGCCAAGATCTGAATTTGCCAAAATTTTGTATATATTTTCCATGCCTAAAAGATCTGCCTATTGAAAATTATAATAATGCTGCGCCGAAACTATTAATAGGAATGCCACATATCAATCTAGTCAGACCTTTGGAAATAATTAATCTAAATGAAAACTTCTCAGCTCATAGAACTAAATTAGGATGGATATTGTTCGGGTCGAACGAAAACAGACACAGCGGTGTAGTATGCCATGTAGAAGAATGTAAAAATTCAATGGACGACATTCAAAACATAATACATAACTTCATAAACATTGACCAGTTTGGGGTTAGACTAGCATTACCGCTTAAATCAGATGGCGACCAAAGATGTGAAAAGATTTTGAAGGAGACGACAAACAAAATCGAAAGTGGCTATGAGACTGGGCTTTTATGGAAAATCGATATTATTAAAATGCCAGATAGTTACGACACGGCGCTACGTCGACTAAAAATAGCGGAAAGTAAAATGTCCAAGGATGAGTCTCTTCGTAAATGGTATTCAGAAAAAATTAAAGAATATGAAAGAAAAGGATATGCGCGTAAATTAAGCAAGGAAGAACTTAAAACGGATTTAGGCAAAAAATGGTATTTGCCGCATTTCGCCGTAAATAATTTAAATAAAAACAAACTCAGACTAGTATTCGACGCCGCAGCTCAAATTAATGGAGTATCACTGAACTCATGCCTTTCAAAAGGACAAGATGCCTATCAGCCAATCCCGTTGCCGTCTATACTGTTCAAGTTTCAATTTGTGCGGACATTAAAGAAATGTTTCACCGTGTATTCATCCGAAAGGAAGACCAGGATTATCAACAGTTTCTATGGAGAGATTGCGATACCTCGAGAAAACCAGACGTCTACGTGATGAATGTGATGATATTTGGTTCAGCCAGTTCGCCCTGTTCAGCCCAATATGTAAAAAATCTTAATGCCGAGTTCTTTAAAAACGACAATCCCAGAGCAGTAAAAGCGATTGTTGATCATCATTACGTCGATGATTATGTAGACAGCTTTGACACAATAGATGAAGCACGTAACATAATTAACAAGGTTGTACAAATTCATGTGAACGGGAATTTTGAACTTCGCGGATTCGTGTCAAACTCAAAGGAGCTTTTGGCAAGGACGAACAACTCAACAGAGATCATGACATCGCCAACAAAATTAAGTCACTCTGAGCTGAACACTGAAGAAATACTTGGACTTTATTGGGATCATGGATCAGACCAGTTCTGTTTCATCGTAAAGTTTAAAGGAGTGCCGAACAACGTAGCTGAAGCAAAATCACCTCCAACAAAGAGACAAGTTCTGTCCATGATAATGTCCATATTTGACCCCTTTGGATTTATAGCACCCTTTGTAATAAAAGCTAAAATCTTAATTCAAGAATTATGGCGCCTAAATACAATGTGGGATGAGGTTATTCCCGAGAGCCTTTACAACGTGTGGATTACTTGGTACGACCAATTGCAGAAGGTAAAAGACGTAAGGATTCACAGATGCTATCATAATAATTTCACCAAACCTGATCCCGACTTGCAACTTCATATTTTCGTAGACGCAAGCGAAGAAGCCTTTGCCGCCGTCGCTTACTGGAGAGTAATGTATCAAGAACAAATAGCAATAGTGTTTGTGATGGGTAAGGCTAACTGTTGTCCTATAAAAACAGTATCAATACCACGCCTCGAACTACAAGCTGCAGTCCTCGGAATTCGACTTAAAAACGCCATAATAAATAACCATGAAGTCAGCCCAAAACATGTTTACCTGTGGTCGGATTCAAAGACTGTAATAAGCTGGATACAATCAGATAGCCGCCGTTATAAGCAATATGTCGCCCACAGAGTAACAGAAATTTTGGAAAGCTTAAAAATCGACCAATGGAAATGGATTCCTGGAACAAAAAAATCCCGCAGACGCTGCCACACGCATGTCCTCAAAAGCAGATCCAAGCGTTTGGATTTATGGACCTCCATTTTTATATCTCGACAGCTCCGAGTGGCCATCACCACCTGATGATATAAAATCTCACGACCATGACAAAGAAAAATTTGTATTTGTTGCTACTCAGGACATGACAATCGATATGATAGACAAATACAGTAAATACGAGAAACTATTGCGAGTCTATTCTTCGGTTCGCCGTGCCATCGAGCTGTTCAAAAATAAATCCTTAAAAAAGTCTACAGTACTAACAGCTTAAGAAATTTGTAGTTCTGAAAAACTATTATGCAAATCAGTCCATCTCGCTTGTTTCCACCAAGAAGTAACTCAGTTAAAGAATGGTCAACCCATAACGAATTCCAGTCCCATATGGAACCTTTCGCCCGAGCTGGATGACGACGGTGTTCTTCGCTTAGCAGGTCGCATTGATAAAGCTACTTGCGTTGGTCCTATGACAAAACGTCCTATTATATTACCCAAAACCCATAAACTGACTTTACTGATCGCCCAGCATCACCATGAACTGTGTAAACACCAAAATGTGGATACCATGATCTGTTCCATTAGACAAACATTTTGGATACCATCTATTCGCCGTTTAGCTAAAACCATTAAGACCAACTGTCAGTTATGCAAAAACTTATCCGCAATGCCAAAGCCACCCTTGATGGGACAGTTGCCTATGGACAGAGTTGCAGCCTTTATCAGACCCTTTACGTATACAGGGTTGGATTATCTTGGTCCCCTTTTGGTGGCTATTGGCAGACGACGTGAAAAAAGGTGGGTAGCGTTATTCACCTGTATGACTACAAGAGCTATACACCTCGAATTGTCTAAGGATTTGTCATCGGATGCCGCCATTATGTGTCTCAAAAACTTTTGTTGCCGAAGAGGAGTACCAAAAAGAATTAGAAGTGATCAAGGAACGAACTTTGTCGGTGTCGGCAAAGAGCAATGGATTACGGTGGTGGATGCGATTGCAATGGAGAGTG